GGCAACTTCTTCGAACTATTGGAAAATATTAGTATAAATGCTGACAGGTTCAATGAGCAGGAAAGGCAACTATTTATGCAAATTTCACAAAATCCGAGATGGCCACCTTATGCATATTAGATTGTTGGTAGCCAAAATATGTTGGTTGCATAGAATATGAAGATAGCTTCAAGAAAATGTATAGTTTTGCTTGTCTAAACCCATTAATGAAAGACATATAGTTGGTTACTGAAAAATCAACGAAAAATCAAGGTAAATATCTTCAAGAACTGGAAATTTATCTTTGAACTTTTAGCTTGATTACCTTACCTTCAGAACATTTATCTTGATTTTTCAGTTACAGCAGAGTTACTGCGACTAATCAGTCACGAGTCGGTGTTGAGTGCGGGGTAGTTCTGAATTCACTAATAATGGCGGTTTTGTTTACGTTGGAAATTACGAAAGTCTGATAAATTGGACAATAGTTGTGACTATTCCAGAAGAGAAGGAACCGCGTGTGGATTTGGTCAAACTAAAAAATAGGTGTGTTTCTGGTCGACCGACCGTCCCTAGATTATTAGGGCCAACCCTAAACATTTTTTTCCAAAAAAAAAATTTGATAATTTTTTTTTTTATTATTTGAAATTTGACAGACAAAACTTGAGATTTTTTACTACAAACACGTTCTGTACTTGCTTACTAACTTATCCCTACCTATACACCACTTTATAGCATGCATCAGAAGGATACTAGGAACCAAAGAATAAAAAAAAAAATAAAACAAAAAAAAACCCTACCTACCTACCCTACTTTTGTTTTCGATGCAATAGGAAACACACCTATTTTTTTGTTTGGCCTTTTCAGATTTCCTGATCCCGGGCGGTTAAAACGGTATCAAGGTCTTTGTGTTCGGTTGTCTGATTGCTGAGATCTAGCCATTTTTATTCGCGACTCGGGTTATAAGTTGTGACAAGAAATTTTTCGCATTGGCTAGTGGTTTGCCATCAAGTTTAACAGCTCTAATATGGAATCGAGGTACAGGGGTGGATTAATTGTTGTGCATGGTCGAAGTGGATACATCTGGCTGTGATATGGTGCAAAAGTTGGTAGAATAAGTGTGAATTTCTGTCTGTGGTTGGAGCTCAAATGAAAGGTTACTGTGATCGCCAGCATGCGGAAGTTAGATCGCTTTTTCTCTTTATATATATATATATAACACTTTTTTTTTTCTTTTTTCTTTTTTGCCTTAAATCCCTGTGATTGTATATGATGGCTAATTGCCTAAATAAATAAAAAATATTACTATCAGTAATGCTGAGAGGGTCTATGTCCCCCAGGGTACTGCCGGAACGTACCCTGGGTACGGTCCGGCAGCGCGCGAGCTTGGCACTCGCCCGCTCGCCAATGCTGAGTGAAAATAATATCGGGCGAGTGAAAACTAAAGCTGACTCGCCCATGTTGGCGAGTAAAAATAATT